AAGAGTAACGACCTTTATAGTACACCCGGTCAGGTGCGTCTGAGTCTAGAGGATGGTAGAGTGGTATCACTCAAGGGGGCGTGGTATTGGTTTTGGACCAGTCATTGCAATACTCTGGTTCATGCTGGTGATCCTGTAAATCTGGTGCTTGCCCGTGAGGAGGATGCAGAGTCACCTATGGTGACCTGTGGGGGCACCGGCAACTTTCTCATTTTCCATCCGTCTATTCTCCTGTCGGGTACGACTATTTCTAACGCCCTGCCGTGCCAGAGGAAGACTCTACTGCAGCACCTCCTCAGTGATGTCGGCTATGGTGCGCAGAATAACATATATGCGACAGTTGGCAACGCCGTCCATACCATCATACAGAACTCCCTAATGCTCGGTCGAGTCGATGAAGCGTTCGTTCGGCATGTGGTGGATTCTGCCAAGATGGACCTGTGGTTCAGCGGTTTCAGCAATACGTCGATGCTAGAGAGGCACGTCAGAGAGAGAGTTCCGCAAGTAGCGCAATGGTTAACCGAAGTAGTGCCGAAAAAATTCTCCCGATTGATCGCGGCTGAGCAAAACGTTAACTGTCGGAAATTCGGACTCAAGGGGAAAATAGATGCGGTGGTGGAGACCGCGGCTGGACGGCAGCAGGGCTTAACCTGCTTGGAAATCAAAACGGGAAAACCCTGGCACACACATCTCGGGCAAGTTACTCTGTACCACCTCCTCATGATGGACTTGTACAGTGAGGAGGGAGTGGGCGCGGGTCGGCTGGAAGTTGGGTATTTTAATGGTAACAGGAACCTGAGGGGACCTCCAGGAGGAGGAGCAGCAGCGCCGGCTTGTGCTGAGATCAATGAGGTTAGAGGGGGGGGGACGATGGGCCTCGTGGTTCCGACTCGCAGGCTCAAGACTCGACTTGGGAGTTCAACATTGAATTTCCACGTAGTGTAACTAAAAATAAAAACTTGAACAAAATAATAACTAATAAATTTCATCACATTCGTTCGTTTCTAAGGTGACCCCTTCCCCCACGGAGTTGGACAACCTCATGTGTGTGCGCAATACGTTGGCGTTGCATTTGGCTAGGAAGAGTCTGCCGGCTACTATAGGAACCAAGAGGGAATGTGAACGGTAAGGGGGTGGGTCAGAATTATGGGGATTATTATTGGAGTTTCACCCTAGTGATATGAAAAACACTAGTGAAAAACACATTTCACGACTACTGCATATCAGCGCGAATATCGCGTTTTTCATCGAGTTTTACGCCACTTCACGTAAAACGGGCTGTGAAACTCCATTGTTATCAAACCCTGGGGACCGCAATTCTCAAAGTTAGATGGATCTCTGTATTGCATTGCGTCCTCGATCTTATCTTGTATCTCGTTGAGATTCACGCATGAACGGTATAGAATATTTCGTTATAGAGCTATTCAGGTGCCCTATGGCCTCTCACTGTGTTGCTGCGCATTTTGTATTGGAGAAAAAGTGATGAGGGGGAATAATTTTGTGGCGCGCGGTAATTTCCACACTCTAGGGATGCAGAGAGTTTTGGCTGTCCTCTGCCTCTTGCGATGGAGTCCTGTGGGGGCGGCGGCATGTTGGAGGAGTACGTAAGGAAATGGTGGAGATGGCTGCGACGGGAAGAGAGGGCAGGTGAGAGTTTGTTGGTTATGATGGAACTCGATAAGACAGTGCTAGATGGAATGTAGAGGAGGTTCAATCACGATGGAGTTCAAGGTGGAGTGGTATAATACATTATGTGAATTAGTGTATGTTTGATCTACAAAACCGATAACACAATTGTTTTCCGCGAAGTGAAATATGTTTTTCATATCACGGGTGAAACTCCACTGTATGAGCAGGGGCGATAGGCTTTTCGTGTCCCCTGCTGTATTATAAGAGCTTAGTTATGTGGAATTCGGGAAGAGACAATGATGAGCATTACGTCGTTCAGGTGACCACACACCCGTAGTAGTCCTAGAGAGGGCTCGGGTGAAGGAGATAACATTGGGGGAGGCAAGGCAGGTATGGGAGGTGGAGGGGGAGGCTACTGGACAGGAGATATGTCTTGGTGATGAACTACATGTGAGGAGAATGGGGAGGGGCTGGGGATCGAACCGGGGACCTTTTCGGAGGCGGAAAAAATGCACATGATCAACTACGTAATTCTAAGGAAGTTCTTGTTGGTTTCTGTACACTTTTACCCGAATTGTATGTGTGTAAACTTGTATAATCAGTGAGAAAATTCCCGAGCTCAGCTGAGGAAAGCGAAAATATATTCCTACTCTAACTCGAGTTCTAGATCGAATTCAAACACGCATAGCAGGGAATCATTGTCGAATGCATGGTAGTTTTATAATCGATCACGTGATCGATTTAGGTATCCTACCAACGCTACGGTCCGAGCAATATAGCGATGGGAAACGTGACCGAGGTGACGACTCGGGGCGCGAGAATTGCTGTGGTTTTGTATATGAAGGACGATGGAATGCCCGACCTTCCTCCTCTGCATGGCGATATTGAAGATCTTGAGAGGGTTGCTACTAGCGCTAGTAAAAGTGTATATGTTGAATCGAAACGGTTGTTCAAATTGACCAGGGTGGACTGGGGTAGTAGTGGTCAAACTAAGAGGAATAGAGCACTATTGATGGAGTTGGCTTATGAGGAGGATTCTGGCTGGGCTGGGCTGTTGTCGGGCGTAACGAAATTGAAGTTGCCGAGTTTGCGACCGTGGGTTGGTGTTCCGGTGCCACGTGAAGTGAGGCCGGTATTTGAGGCGTTGAATGATGGACAGAAAAGGGCGGTCTGTGCGGCGTTGGAAATTGTCGGGCGAGTGGTAGAAGAAGGGCAACGGTGGGCACTACCAGTGTGTGGGTACCCGGGGACTGGAAAGTCGAGTATGCTGGCGGTGTTGTTGCTGGCGTTACGGTATGGCAGCGAGAGAAGAGTACTGCTAGTGAGTCATACGCATACGGCGGTTGATAATCTGTTGTTGAAAGCAAAGGAGTTGGCGGGGAGGAATCGATTGGAAGATTTTGAGTAGGTTGGGGAGGAAAGATTCGGAATAGGTCCGAAATGGGAACATGTGGTGATGTTGTAGTTGATTGGTGAAATCTCTGCAGTAGAGGAAGTGTTGGAGCAGGAATATATGTTTGGTTTCCTCAGCTGAGTTCAGCAGTTTCCTCACTATTTTAGAACTTTGCACAGAAACTAAGGCGAAAATTTTTTCATGAATGAGCAGCATCTCTTTGGTGATCGAATATAGCGGAAATATAGTGGAGCCGGTATGAGCACAATTTTCTCTATACTGGAGCGAAAAAAATTCGAAGAAAAAATTTTGGAGAGTCAATTCGATTGATGAGTCTTGGAGAATCAGTAGTAGTAACATGGTCATGTTAGATTGATACGGGCTTATCCTGAACTGTTACACATGTACGGCCCGAAGAAATTTGAAGAAATAATTCGCGTTTTTCTCATATTTTTTCCGCATTTTTCCCATATTTTTGCACATATTTCCCATATTATCATGGACGCAGCGTGCTGTAAAGTAAAATTTCAAACATTAATACTGAAACAGAAACAGTGGTTTACGTTTGACAAACTCATCCACAAAGACAACTTGGCAGGCCCATACTCAGGGGCGGGTAAGTCGGGCATTTGCCCGGGGGCCCCGCCAGATAGGCTTCTGAGGGGGGGCCCGAGTTGCTGAGGAAATTTCACTCGCCTGAAAATGGTCTACGCGATACGCGCGTGCAGCACGTGACGTCAGAGCTATGAACGTGTCGAATTCGTCCGAGCCATAGCACATGAGATTCCATTCTGTTGGTTGTCATATTTATGTTTCTCCCTCAACCACCACCCATAAGCGAATTAGAGAAAACCACGAGGTATGCCTCTGGAGCTCAGAAGAGAATACTCAAGAGGGACCGAGATAACGAAGCAGCAGCAGCAGCAGCGCTTCTCAAGCAACCGAAACTCATGAGCTTCGGCTTCGTTCAGAGCAGCGAGCAGTTCAGGAACGACATCGGATCTCCGAACATAGCAGTTATCAAGGAGTGTGCGGCACTGGACGATAACGGAGGAAAGGATGAAGAAGTACTAGAATCGCGGGAGGATGAGTTAGTAACGGCGACGGGAAAGATGGAGAATGGGAACTATATGGGACCAATAACCTTGGATGTTGCGACGTGGCCTCCCCGCGTCTTGAGTGCTACTAGAGATCACATTATTCGATTTGTTGGAACGCCAAACTTCACCGAGGATATTCCACTTGGATGGGACCCGGCTGATGGGCGCAAGTTCTGTCCTTCCATGTCATTCAATGAAGCTGACAATGAACGCATATGTTTGATGCCCGATACTCAAAAGCAAGCAGTTCTCTGTCTGCCTTGTAAGCTGCTCGCGAGCGGAACGTTCGCTTTAAGAAAAGGCGGGCTCAAGAAGTGGAAACATGCCATGATAAACCTCGATCGCACGAGTCAGGCGAAGCTCATAAGAGAGCCATGTGCGATTGGCGAACTCTCCATCACCACATCGTTACAAAATCTGGGACTGACGGTGAGCTTCAGTTGGCCACCGAAAATGAGGCGAACAAGTGGGTTGAGATCTTGAACCGTGTCGTTCATGCATTGACGTTTGTAACTGCCCGTGGACTCGCCGTGCGAGGTTATTCGCACAGGCTAGATGATATGTCGAATGGGAATTGTGTCGGTTTGTTGGAGATGATGGCTGTGTATGGCCCCGTCCTGAGAAGCCATTTGGATGCGGTACGTGAGGCTCAGACTGCTGGTCGGAAGCTATCTGTCGCCAAAGACACAGAACGAGCTCATCCACGTTCTCGCATCATGCTTGATTGAGAAAATCAAAGCTGAACGAGCATCGGCGAAGTTCTTTAGGATCATGTGTGATAGCACCCCGGACATGGCACGTCTCGAACGGCATACGTTCCTGATGAGGTGATTATAATACTGCCGAACCATGAGATCGTCTTTCTAGAGAACTGAAGAATTTCTTCACACTGCAGGTAGGTCATCCTTGAAGGATCAACATGGAAAGTCGGTGGGAGGTTTATGGGTATGCGTAGTTTGACGGCGAAAACAGGAGCTGCAATAGCCGAGCTCATAATGGAGATGATGACTTCCCATGACCTACCCAAAAGTTTTCTTGTTGGACAGTGCTACGACAACGCGGCTTCGATGTCGGGGGCATACAAGGGCACGAGAGCAGTAACCAAAACCCACTACCCATACGCCGATTACTATGCTTCCTCGAGTCATACATTGAACTTGACGTTGAACGATTGCGCTGGATCGTGTATACCAGCCAGTATCTTCTTCGGTCATCTCAACAGACTCTTCAACTTGTTTAGTTCTTCTCCAAAAGGGTCACTACCTATGCCGTGCATGGGGGGATCAGGCTCGTCTTGATTTCTTAAACCGACGTCTACGGGAATCTAACAGATCGGGCTATGTTCTCCTCCTTGAGCTCAATGAGATCAATGAGGTTCGGACGTGTGTTGAATAATAATGGAAATGTGGGCGCGCGCGAAGGAATACAGGTGTCATATTTACAGGTTGTGATTTTTGTTCAGTTTTGTGCGTTTGGGACGATCGAGTTCTGTGAGGCCAGAGTTAGCGGAGCACTATCCTCCGACAGAGTGGAGCTCGGTGGAAAGCATATCGGAATTTCTTATAACTAGGGTAAGGGTAGAAGTCCATATTCGATTTCCTCAGCCGAGTTCAGGAGTTTCTTAGATAATTATAGAAGTTTAGATGTGAATCAGGATAGAAGTGTACAGAAACAACGAGAATATTCCAAAATTTCGTCGAAATTTTCATATACGTTCGCTTTCCTTAGTCAAGTTCGAGATTTTCCTCACTAATTATAGAAGTCTACAAACTTTAGAGTAGAAGTGTACGAACCCAAAAAAATACTCAGGATTTTCATATTTTCACTGTTCAGTGTTGGAATATATGTTTGCCCTCCTCAACTGAGCTCAGGAGTTTCATCAGTTATTATAGCAGTTTATATATGATTCGGAGTAGAAATGATCAGAAACCTACGAGAATTTCCAAAATTCCCTCAGAATTTCCATATTTTCACTAACACATGTAGTAGTCCATGTGCATCTTTCGTCATGCTGATAATGGTAATGTTCAGAAGCCAATAAGAATTTTATCGGAGTTTTCATATTGTCACCAACATATGTGCATATTTTTTATACCAAAGCTGGAGTAGTCTTTGCTCTCCCTTTTAGGGCGGCCGACTTGTGGCATGTACGGCTCTAGCGTGTCATAATGCGTTGTTGTGGCCGCCGAGACCGGTGAGTTCGGATGATCAACCGCCAGGGGTTAATTCGGGTCAACCTAAGGTGAGTTCGTGTAGTGACAGGAAGTGTATTTTTAGTGACAGGTTCTGGATAGAGGCCTGCCGCAGCCGCCAGATTTTGATATTGTGTTGGTCGATGAAGCTGGTCAGGTAAGCTTGGAGTGTGGTGGGAAGATATGCACATGGTCGGTTACATGTGTTGGTGATAATATGAAAATTCTGGGAAAATTTTGGGAAATTCCTATGGGTTTCTGAACACTACCATTATCAGCGACGGTATGGGCGAATATGCACATTGGCAACTACATGCGTCATTGGTGATGATATAAAAATTTTTGGGGAAATTATTGCTATTTTCTGTACACTCCTACCGAAATTCGTTATGTAAATTTGTATAACTAACGAGGAAACTCCTGAGTTCAGCTGAGAAAAAGTGTACAGATATGAAAATTCTGTGGAAGCGTTGGGAGATTTTCGGTGGTTGCGTGCATTTCTACATACGTATACACGTTTCCATTATCTCTTGGAAAACTCAGCTGAGGAGAGCGAACATATGTTCCTACTCCAACACAACTGCTATAAGGAGGAAACTCACATCTTGTTTTCATAGGCTGCGGATTCGACTCTGTGGTGTGCGTTGAAGCTTGCTACTAGAGGGGCGATCCTAGTGGGGGATCAATACCAACTGCCACCTGTTGTGAAAGACAGGTATAGTTATGGAGTTACTTCTGATAGGGTTCGGGTTTTCGGGCTCGGGTTTTCGGGTTTTATGACCGACCTGAACATTGTCGCTGTATAGATAAAACGTCGATGGAATGCTCATTGGTGAAATTGCAGTGCGTGTCGATTCAGTATGTAATGTGGAAAAATGTTCGTTTTCTATTCCGGGATTAATGATAGTGAACAACTTGTCGCTATCACAGTCCCAAACGGTTACTCTTATCACATCACTTGTTCGTTTTCTATTCCGAGATTAATGATAGTGAACAACTTGTCGCTATCACAGTCCCAAACGGTTACTCTTATCACATCACATGTTCGTTTTCTATTCCGAGATTAATGATAGTGAACAACTTGTCGCTATCACAGTCCCAAACGGTTACTTTTATCACATCACATGTTCGTTTTCTATTCCGAGAT